CGTGATTTTCCTGGACCAATCACAGTTCTTTGCTACGCATAACAACCAACGAGATTGCTTCATTTTTTATTGACAATAGATTACGTCAAATGGCTTTTTTTCGTGTTCGCCAAAGTAAAGGCCGGCTTTCCAGTTATGTTGAAAGATTTTGAAATAAAAAAAAAGCTTTATCTGTAGTAGTTTGTTTCGTTATTATATAGAACAAACAGATTCCATGTTGCAGTACTTCTGTTCAGTATAGATCACAGAAGACGTCAAAATGTGGTAAGAACATCAGTGACACACTCGGCTATCGCCTCGCGTGCCACATTTTTTGTTCTCACCACATTTTGATGTCATTTGTGATCTATTACTGAACAGACGCACGTCAACATGTAATCTATTTGTTAAATATATAGCTTGATGTGAAGTTTATATGAAATAATTCATATATGAGCTGCGGTTGTAGATGAAAGTAAAGAATGACCATCCCGTTGAAGCCCTGATTTTTTCAGGCTTCGTCTTTCCAATTGCTTAAATTAGAAAATTAACTGCGATGATCATTCTTTACTTTCAAATATATAGCTTCTTCGACAGTTTAAAAATCCACAGCTTAAGCTTATATGCCCTGAAGAAATCATATTTTCAACCGATTTCTCCTTCGCATTGTTGTATATCCTTACTGAAAGATTCATCGCTTTTTTAAGTTGTTATTATTGTCAGGAACTGATGAAGCTATTCTAGAATGCTTATTGACCTTGGGCATCATTATAAAACACGCCGAGAAACGAGATCCCATCTGTAAATTAACCTCTCTGTCGCGTTTGCACAATTTGTTGATTTAATAACTGACGAAATGTTCGCGAGACAACGACATAGGATATAAGTTTAACAAATACTGCTCTCTTGCTTAGATTTAGTTTATGTAAGAGACTTCAAATAGTTTATTTTAATGTGTATTAACAGTCTAAGCAAGTAATCACGTGATTTTTCTTGTGCAACTTGAAATAAATAAGTACTTGTCAATTTTTCAACGTCTAAAATTAAAATTGCACTTGGAGTTTTGTCAACCTTTGACAAATTTACAAGACCAGTGGCCAAGATAACCCTTTTTCCAAATGCATTTTATAACTCAAAGAAATGTCTATACCTGTAAAAGCGTGGTAGCTACAGTCGGTTAATTCGGTTTCTGGAAAGAAAGAAAAAAACAGGACTGTTCGTCCAAATGCCTGGCAGATAATTTCGAAGAGCGCCCAATTTTTTTTTTTCGCTTTTTCATATTTTCGCACCAACTTTATGGCATGGTCTCTCATTCTAATGATTATCATTTGTATTTGTGGCTGACATGTACATGAAAAGTAGCATTGTATAGATTTACTGAGTGAGAGTAACGATTTGTTCAAACTTAGTTACTATTTCAAAGATTCATCTGCCCAAACTGAGCTGTTCTTTCTATTCTCTGGGTAATACTAAGCGAACTAACTTTTAAATAATTCACCTCCAGCTTTGTGTGGTGCAGGAGGACGAAGTCGCTGCAAATTTAACGAAAGAAAACCGAACGAGTAGACGAAAAATAAAAGAAAAGAAACAAATAACGCATTTTATTACTCTTTTATTTTAATACTTAATACTAAATGACACTAGACCACATTTTTTTAGTTAATTTTAACCCAGATTGGGCTCTATTTATAGTGACTTGAATTTTCCGTTTCCGAATTCACTATACCTTTGTTTCAAAGCCATTCCTGTTGCAGACCTTTAGATGTGATAGCGGCTGTAGCCCATGTAAATTTTCATGTAAACATTACTCATAAGATTTTATTCCGGCCTTGAAATAAAGACAAAGGGAAAATTGGGAAAGACTTATTTTTACATTGTCGGCCTCATTAAATAACTAGTATGTTTAAGTTTCTTGTTTCTCAGTCCTCTGTTTCCGTCCTTTTTTGGCATCTGAATGGCATGAAAAATAAAGGGAAAAAAGGCAATAAATAAATATAACCGTCTTAGTTTCTTGTCGTTAATTAATAATCCAAAGTAACTAGGTAGTCGTTGAACGGCGCATGCATAATTTCTTGATTTTCCTTGTAAGGCAAGTCACTTTTATTTTCATCTTTTATTTTTTGTCACTTTTTGTAATAATGTGGTCCAAGTCAAACCAGAAGAGTAGACAAGTGAATAGTACTGAGTCACACGCAGTACGTACATAATTGTCGCCTGACGAGCGCATTTTTGACTGTGATTCTTTGACTGGTTTTGCCTTAAAATGACTTTACACTAAATATATAGCGTATGATTTTGAGTTCCACAGGATGATGCATACTTAGCTTTGGTTTGACTCAGGGTGCGTTTCTTTGGAAAAAATCAAAGATTGGACTCTTAAATCCAAAAACAGATTTTCTATTTCTTTACTTAGCAGATTAACCCAAGATCACTCGAATCACGGTGCATCAAAGGAACCGACAAATCCTTGCCCAGAGTCCGGATTCTTCCGTTCGTGTGATGCATCATGATCCCACCGATCATGGATTGATATGTGAAGAGAAGAGACTTAAAATCAGTTTCTGTATTATATATCTTATCACATTAAATTGTAATTTATCTTAGCTAGCTACCCAACTAAAAACTAAGCTGAAATTGTCAGTTCAGAGCAATTATTCGTAAGAAAATTGTAAAACATTTCGTATCTACTTGCCAAACTCATTGTGGCCAATGAAACGTCTGTCTAATGTTTTTCACCACCTTATCTTTCTTCTTTCCGGCCAGTTTCCTCACGGTGTGTTTCTTCTTACCTGTGGTGAGTGTATTCAGACATTGTGTAAATTGTGATTTTTAGGAAAAATACTTTTCAAATATAAACTACAAGGGATAACTGAATAAATGGCACCTATCAAAGTGATTCGTGATTGTACGAAAATGAAAAACCAGGTTTAACTATTTTTTCCTCTTTTTTTTTTTTTTTTCACTCAAAAGAAGTATGTATCTTGCAGCTCATGTCTGGTTGAATTATTTCTTTAACTGTGGTCGAGAAAAGGGTAACGTAGGCCCTAGCACCTTTCCTCTTGTGTTTTGTTGCTCAATAGTGCAGTCGAAAAATATCGGGACCTACATAAAAAAAAAGCGACTGAAATTTAGGGTAATTCAGCTGACCCCTATCCCCTGAAGGGTAACACATGCAGTAGACCCCAGCAGCTTTCGTCCTGTGCAAGTTTTTTGTGCAACCGTAGGTGGAGTGGAAAAATACAGGACAGTGTATAAAACAAGCATGAACTGTGATATACATGTGTTCCTCCATCTTACCTGGGTCATTACACTCGTCACCCTCACAGCAGGTCACCGCACATGACTCAATCGTATCGTCAATGTCCACAGCCAGTTTTCTCATGTGATCGCAAGTCACTTGTTCATTGCAATCATCATGGGTGGACCTGGTACAGTTCCACACCTTAACTTCGATGTTGGACCCAAGGGTAAAGGACAAAGTCCCACACTTGTCGTCGTCCTCCTCTAGACAGTCCACCAGTCCACTATCTCGGCAGTAAGGCTCATCATCTGGGTAATACGTACAATCTTTGACGTAGCAGCTTATGCTGGAAGCTGGACGAATAACAGCAATAAAACCGGTCAGAACCGCCAAAGACTGTAGAAGAGAAAAAAAGAATCATCCAATTAGTCAATCAGTGAATCAATCAATCAATCAATCAATCAATCAATCAATCAATCAATCAGTCAATCTATCTATCTATATATCCATCTATCTATCAGTCAATCAATCAGTCAATCAATCAATCAGTCAATCAATCAATCAATCAATCAATCAGTCAATAAATCAGTCAATCAATTAATCTAAGTTTTTGTACCCTCGTGGTACAAGGGGAGGAGAGTGGATGGAATCCGTCCTCTGGTTTTTCGTTCTGTTAACGCAGAGAGAAATAAATTTACATTGATTAGATAGCTCTGAGCTTGACGTTATTTGACCCGCCATCTTGGATCCGCCATTTGAATTTTACCATTTTCTTAAAAACTCAAGAAATAACAGCATTTCTGCAATTTGATGAACAAAACTGAAAAAAAAAAAAAAAAAAAAAAA